CACCCTTGTGACCGCCTCGTGGCTATTCCAACTTGCACTCCAAGTCTCCTCGGTGTCTTCTGGTCCAAGAAAGATCATCGCGAAAGTTTTATTCCGTTTGGACTCCGTTTGGTATTCCTTTTCTGCGAAACTCTAAAACAAGGAAAAAACATAAACTGGCATTGGCTCTAGGTTAATAGGTTAGTCCCAAAAATCATATAAAACAACATATTAATAAAACATCCAAAACAGATAATATAATAGCATGGAACAATCAAAAATTATAGATATGTTGGAGATGTATCAGCAAGCACCTTGTCAACCAGCGGGATGAAGTCAGCCATTGGACCTGAGGATGGCCGAAGAACGGGACACAAGAAAGTGGGGAGCTAAGTCAACCGGGGAAGGAAAGTAGAGGAAGAAGCATGGAGGAAACAAGAAGGATGCTTACAGTCGCGTTGACGATGGCCGGAGACCCAACAGTTCCTACAATGCATAGGGTCTCGACAATGTTGAACGTGGTGGTCAAGGGCAAGGCAGCGGTAGCAGCGCATGGAGGGGCTGGTTATAAGGAGGATGCGAAGCTGCATGCATTGAAGGATAAGTGCGGGGGGAGGATGCATGTAGAGCCATGCACAAGGGCATGGGCGTAGGAGGCGTTAGTGGGGGATCGAGGCTTACAGGGATTCGGCTAGGGGAGCAGGCACCGCAGAGGAGGCAGGCGCACACGTATGCCCTAAGGGGTGGTTGGTCAAATCTATGAGGGTCGGCGAGGGGAAAAGGCTTCTGAGATGGGAAGGAGAGGCTCACAACGCGAGAGCCACGGGAGAGGCCTTTCTGGAGTCTCTAGGATGCCACGCGTGCGGCAGTCGATGGTCATGGGCCTCCGGTGAGAGAAACGAGGGCGGGCTCGCCTGGTAGCTACGTCAGGGTGAGGGTCGGCGGCAGGAGATTTGTAGGTATGTGGTTGGGTGCATGCGAGGGATCTCGGAAGGCCATCGAATTGGCTGGGCGGTGGGTTACAGGTGGAGGGATCAGGCGGCTGCATGGCTCGTGGGTGAATTTGTCGCACAGGGGCAGCGTTGATGCAGGGAGAGTGGCAGGATCCGTGGCGCAAACGTCCAGCCTGGTCTCAGAATCCGCGGACCCACAGACCGAATCAACAGGGGGCGAGAGTTGTCTGATAGGTTGGGAGGGCTGCGACGGCGAGAGGAGCAGGAGCACGCGCAACAGGAGATTGAGAGCGGACAAACGCAACATTTAAGGAGATCTCTCCATGGCAGCCATGGAGAGGGAAGAAGACAAAGTTGTCGGAGATTTGAATCCCAGAAAAAAGACGAGCCCGAGCCAACTGGAGGACCTATGTGAAACGACAGCCTAACCGGACCATCACTAATACCTCCGAGCGAGACAATAAATGCGGCGACATCCGCATTAGCCACTGTTAATGAAAATAAGCCCGCACCAAATGATCGAATAATTGGCATCTCAGATTGAGACCCTAACCAGAACTTGAGCAAAGAGAAAACAACTAAATCATCAAGACATTGAGAGGAGGGAAGCAGCTTGATCCAGATTGAAGTTGGAGAAACCAACCTCGAGTGTGGATCGAGCGGCGAGCATACCAGCGAGGAGAAGTTTTCCAGAGCGTACTGCAACAGAGCGTCACCGGGCGTCGATCCCAGACCATCAGGGAGGCCCAAGCATAGCACCGGCGGAGTTGAGGGAGATAGGAGCCCAAAGGCAGCATCCGGCTTCCGCAGGCCAGCGGGGAGGGGGTGAGCGGCCGCGACTGGCGAATTGTGTAGGGTGGCGACTTCCGGAGGTGGGCTGACTGGCAGCGCTGAAGGGGCCGGGTCGCCATTGGCGGTGGGAGAGGTAGACAGTGGTGGTGGGAAGGTGCATGAAGAGTTGTTTGCGTGGATTGAAGCAGACATTGTTTAGTGTTTGTCGTGGACAGAGTGAGCAGCGACGACAAGGGGACTACCGGCCGCAAGGCGGCAGCGGGGGGCGGGCGTGACCAGAAATACATCATGGCCAGACTCAGGATGGATCGAGGCTGTCAAGGCAGCCGCCGTAGCCAGAGCGAACTGCGGCGGATGGGACGCGCCCGGAGCTCCACTCTAGCTCACTTGCCTCTGTTCTCTCTCTGTCTCACGAGCGGTGCCTGTCAGCCAATAAACATTTATCTTTCAGCCTTGTGCATTAATAATGTTCAATATTAATTGACCAGCCTACTGGTAGTAGCTATGGTACTCTTACGATGTACGATGGCCGAGGTAGATCAGGAATTCAGGAGGGGGCATCCTCTACGCCGCCCCGGTGTGTGTTTATCAGGCATGCCGCTCACGTGTGTGGGCGTAGAACATAAGAGCATATAGAACCGGATTTGGTAAATTGGATCTCTCAAACACCCGCGGTCGCAATTGGGTGCGTCTGCGGGTCAGTGACCGGTCACATTTCAAATTTGCTTCTCTGCATTTGAGTCTCTCATATTTTATCAGGTCCATACAAGTCATGCAAAATAAACATATGTACTACGACACCCCAGTTACGATTCGTCGTCGGATATGTCCAGGATGTCAGTGGTGGGTGTCGGGTGGACGGGCGTGCACGAGGGCTCCGGCTCCTCCTCCTCCTCATCATCATCATCATCATCATCATCATCATCATCATCCATGTACGCGAGAATCTCGTCGACTTCCGTGGCGTGCTCCGCCTCAATCTCCTGCCAACACGGCATCTAGCTTCCACATCCGACTCCAAGCGAAGGGAATCGAGGATGGCCTGCTGCTTTGTTTGTAGTTTCGCGTCCCAGCATGCCCCACATCGTCCTCATGCTCCTCCTCTTCCTCAACCTACTCCTCCTTCGTATAACCGCATCCGGAGGTAGCCCCGTGGCGATCCGGGCTTCGTGCCTTGCCCGGATCTGCTCAAGTAGTTGCAGTCGGCGCTCCGATGTAAGATATGGGTAGCTCCTTACCCGAGGGCATGGGGCATGGCTACTTGTAATGGCAAACGGCGAGTGGAAAGTGAGGGACGACGAGTGGAAAGTGGCGGCGGCGGCGAACTAGAAGGGGAAATGTGGACAGGTATGGTTTCGGTGTCGACAGTCGGCTTAAATAGCCGTGCTAGGCACTACGCGGCCCGCAGAAGCGGCGGCACGCAGGGCCATCGGTCCGACGGAGGAGATGAGCTAGGCACTACGCGGCCCGCAGGAGCAGGGCCACCGGGTTTCAAACTGTTTTCCTGTGGGACCCTAGCATCGGTCTGACGTGGCGGACCGTCCGGGCGCGCCCGGACGCTCCATATCCGCCTCATATTTGAGCTAGATTTTTTTAGGGGTATAACCAAGCTTTTATTCATCAAATTCCACAAGATGTGGGATACAAATCGAGTTATGGGGTTGACCCAACCATACATGGCACGAGAACGCTTGGCTAGTCTATGTGCTTCTAGATTATTCGCACGACCTTCAAAAACAAATTACAAAGAAAAGAAACTTGTTGTAGTCTAATCCCCTTGATGATAGCACCATAAGCTCCTAGACTTTCATTATGGATGACACTGACCACTTGCATTGCGTCCGATGCAATCACGAACTAATCTAAGTGAAGGTCTGCTACAAGCGCCATTCCTTCCCGACATGCTATTGCTTCTAGCGTTGCCGGATCATCCACTCCGCGGATGACCAATGCTGAACTCCCAAGGAAAGCACCTGTACTGTCCCTGCATACTGCGGCCGCTGTTCCTCGGCTTCCTCTTCGGCATCCAGCATCTACATTGATCTTGGCGTATCCCATTGGAGGAGGTTTTGGTCTCCTGTTTTGCGCTGGAACCCTTGGCTCCATTCTCTCTATTTCCTGCTTTCCTCCAATAATTTCGAGCTCATCTATATATCTGTCCATAAAAGTGACATGTGGACTCTAAAAAATTCCTTCGTGGATAGCTTTACGTCTTGCTGCCCAAATGGCCCAAAGTGTAACTGAGAGCCTCACGAATTCTGCATGTGATAACAGATCCATGAGTGTGAAAAGCCACTGTTTCGCCTTTGGTTCTGTTGTAGTTGCCATCTTCTGCGTCAATTCCTCATCTATGAGCGACCAAGTGCAGCGGGACATGGTACACTCCAGGAGGGAGTGCCTCCAAGAATCCGGGGCTCCACACATGCCACATAGATTAGAGTCTGCCATATGTCTTCGGGCTCGGACATCATTAGTTGGAATTGAGTGTTTTGATAGTCTTCATAAGAACATCCTCACGTTCCCAGGCACTTGTATCTTCCATAAACTCTTCCAGGATCTTTCCTCACCCGCCATACTCGATGAACCTGACGTATTCTCTAGCTATGCTTCTTTTCTTGGTCTTGTTACAACAAGCATGCGATAGGCCGATCGAACTGAAAAGAGCTCATTCTTTTCATAGTGCCAGCTCCAAAAATCTGGTATATTACGCGTGCATGGAGGAATGCCTAGGATCACTTGAGCATCCATCGGCATGAACACGGACTCAATCTTCTGTGTTTCCCAACATTTGAGTTAGATACGAGGGGTTTCGGTCAGTCCGGACGTTTGAGGCCTGTTTAAGCAGCCCGCCTGGGTTGTATTTTCGTGACTGGGCCGTTCATCCAGACGTTTGAGGCGAATTTGGTGCAGCTGTTCCATTTCAAATCGGCCCGGCCCAAATAACACACGGATCAGCGTCAAGTCTCTGACCTTTCTGGGCTTTCATCCAAGCGCCCGCAGCTTCCCCCGCATCGCCCGCAGCTTCCAAACCCCAGGTCCTCCCAGCCGCCATGGCAGCCGCTCGTCCCGCTGCTCGCCGACCTGCAGCTGCTCGCGCGTGACCTGCGCCCTGACACAGGCTGCTATCGCGCGACCCTGTTTCGTCTGAGCCTCCGACGTCGTCTTGGCCCCCTGGAATCTGCGACGTGTGCAGGCGTCAGCGGCACGCCGTGGAGCAGAGCCCCCTCCCCCGGTTGGTCCTGAAGCTGGCGCGATTCCCGTTGCTTCGTTTTGGCCATGAACAACCACCTCCGCGCCGCATTAAGCGCAGCCCGGCTCCGGTGGGCTCCTGGTGCCCTCGACAAATCCTCCAGAGTGCCGCCGTGCTGTGCTGCCAGTTGGCGGCATGTACAAGGATCATTCCCGGCATCGGGTCGGGTTGCTCCGAGTGACCATCGGATTCAACGGCGGCTCTATTCAGCTGCTCCCCTCCACAGCGAGGGGGAAACCTTGGTGGATGAGGAGGAGGACGAGGTGGATCGGAAGATCAGGCAAATGGAGAGGAGGCGGGAGGTCCGCGCCGCGCAGAAGACGTTCATGGAGTACCTCCATGTCACGCGCGGCATGTGCTTCAGCGACGCCGAGCATATAAGCAAGCGCTCGCCTGTTTACCTGAGCAAGCTGCTGGAGGAGGTGAAGGATGCCCTGAAGGAGCCCCCGGAGGGGGGAACCGAGCTGGTCTTCAGGTCCAAGGTGAAGAAGAGGGACATGAAGGATGAAAGGGTCAGCAAGGCCCTGGTGCGGTTATTTCAATTCAATCCTGTCAACGAGTTTGAGCCCTTCTTGGAGAGCATTGGCCTCAGACCGAGCGAGTGCAGTGCGTTCTTGCCTCGGGATCTCATGTTTCTCACGGACGATGAGATGTTGCTCGGCAACTTCCGCCTGCTTTGCAATTACGGCATTGCGCGCAGGAAGATAGGGAGGATATACCGGGATGCTATGGAGGTCTTTAGTTTTGGCCATGGTGTGCTTGCATCTAAGCTGAAGGCCCTTGAGGAACTTGGGTTCAGTAGGACCAGTGTGATCAAGCTCGTAATTGCTACTCCTGTTGTATTGGTTCGTGACCCGAATGTGGAATTGAAGATCCTGGAGTGGCTAGACGACATTGGGATCCAGCGGGACTGGATTAGTCAGTTCTTATCTGCTAGGAAGTCTTATGATTGGAGAAAGATGGTTCGAGTTCCCCAGTTCTTCGTTAACTTGGGATTTACTAAGGAAGCTGTTGGTAAATTGGTCAGGCAAAATCCAGATTTCTTGCTGGATGGTTCAGGAAAGATGCTATTTACAGTGGTTCTCATGATGCTAAAAGCGGGATGTGGAAAAAAAGAGCTGTATGATCTTTTTATGGACTTCCCAAATGTGTCGGTCGAGGATTTCACAAGTAACCTACGGAGGGGAATGCTGTTCTTAGCTGAGATTGGCATAAGCCATGAGGATGTTAACAAGTTTGTTCTTTCTCATGGATTAATCCTTGGTTCTGCCCCATTGAAGATGCCAAACAGCATTGTTACAAATCTCAATGTGGGAAAGAGGCGCCTGCGCAAGATTATACTGGAGGACCCGAAACTGTTGATGAGTTACACATTAGGGTCAAAAGTCAGCCAGCTACCAAAAATTGACCCCTTTGAAGCATCATTCAATGAGAGAAAAAAATTCTTGAAAAGCATAGGATTTGTTGAAGGCTCTGAAGATATGAAGAAGGCACTCAAAACCTTCCGTGGCAAAGGTGACGAACTACAAGATCGGTACGAGTTCTTAGTGAACAATACTGGGTTGGACCCAAAAGATGTAGTAAACATGATCAAGCTGGCTCCACAGGTTCTGAACCAGAAGATTGATGTGCTCGAGTCAAAGATATCCTTCCTTATAAATCATTCAGGGTATACTCTGAGTGACATGGTTGCTTTCCCTGCTTGCCTGTCATTTACCGTGGAAAGAACCAAAGTCAGGATTTTCATGTACAATTGGCTGCTAGAAAGGGGGTTGGTTACATCCCGGCTGGCTTTAAGCACAATCCTAGCTTGCTCAGACAAATATTTCATGAGTTATTTTGTGAAAAAGCATCCCATGGGACCTGAAGTTTGGGAAAACTACAAGAGGGAAGTAGCTAAGGCCAAAAACATGCCTTGCAGTTGAGATCATTAGCACCCTCTCCTTTGATGAATTAACTTGTTTCACTGTCTACATTTGCTCACATAATGCTATTCTTTGATAATTTGCGGCACATCATCTGTCCTCATTTATAGTGTGGTCGTGTGGATGGCGTTTCTGCTCTGCTGCAGGAACTGGCTTGTTGCAGGCAGAAGATTTAGCAAACTATTGGACCATGTTTTTGAGAGTTTGGCATTTTAGAGTTTGATGATCAACTCGAGGAAAGCAAAAAAGAGTAATTGTTCCGTGCCCGGTGGTAGTGCTGAATCTATTTCACTTTTCCTGCCCACGTGGATATATCATAGATGCTTCAGTATGATATGGGCTAAATCTGAAAAACCCTACTGTCATGCACTCCCTCTGTAAAGAAATATAAGAGCTTAGTAGTGATCTAAGCGCTCTTATATTTCTTTTATGGAGGGAGTATTTGATACTTTTAGCTTGTTATATCTTTGGAAATGGCTCACTGTCCTGGTAGGTGCTTTTGTGGTGCAACTGGTTCAAGGGAAGAAAAAGATTTGCTGCTTTCAGTTTGTTTCAGATTCGCGTCTACACATTTTTGTATATATAGAGAGATGGTGCTAGTATAGTTTTGGTGGTAAGCAGCGCAGCAGTGATCATGTATACCTCATTCCCAGTACATGTACCCCGACGCTGAAACATGATGAATGCATTTCATGGATGCACAAATATTTGTCCGTGCATTTGTTTTTCTTGTAGAATTCATGTTTGGAGAGTTTTTACGGTTGCACCATGTTGTACAACAAACATGTCTTTCTTTTCCACGCTAAATATATATTCCCACCGTTGCAAAATACAAGGTGTGTTAACTTTTAGAAAGCCGAACTTCTCTATGTTTGGCGTAGTTTATCATCGTGAGATATATTCTTATATTTTGCTTGCACCTTACATGTGGAATAGAGGGAGTAATGCATGTTTGGAATAGGCGGCGCCATTGGTTCTGTTGAGCAAAACCCCGAAGCCTTGATGCTTGTGGTATCTGAGCAGGCAGCAGCGAACTGAAACTGTTCAATCTTGTGTAGTCAAAGTCGTCAATCGCTGTGGAGGTGGGTGGATAGGAATAGGACTGCTGACTCACTGCCACTTGGACTTGGAAATCGCGGTGTAGTTTCCTCCTCCGTTGGACCACGCCGCTCATGATAATGCCCCGACAAGGGCACGGCCGGATGTCTGGAAGCCCGACCGCTCCTCGTGTCCTCGAGGACCCCTAATCAAAATTGGGTCTGTCTAGGACACATCTAGATGTGACATAGTTATGTCACATCTAACCTGATAAGCACTATGTTTGTGGTCTATCTTTTTTATCCCAGTTTTTTTTTTATTTCTTGTTGCTGCGTAGTTATTTTTAGGAGGTTAGATGTGACATCATTAAAAACATCTAGATGTGAATTAGACAAACTGATCAAAATTATCCCCTTCCTACGTCCCGTCACAGCGGGGGACATTTTAGAACCTGACTGAGGATGACCAATCAGGTACAGTATGTTCAGCACACGCGCCGACAGCAAAGAAAACTGAAGCAATGGAACTATTCCTTCCATTTATTCCCCCTTGACCAGTTAATCTTACAAAATTCTTCCATCAAAAAATACATCCTTCTAACGCTGACCGACGTAAACTACTGCCTCGTCGTCGCGGCGACACCTAGATTCATCGGAGTTCCTTAGGTTCGTACGTACAGTGCCTTAATTAGTTACATGATGGACTCGAATGGGATGATCCAATGGAACCTATATGTACATATGGAGCAGCGCAGGAGCACCGGTGGACAAGATGGTGGGCGAGGCACCTCGCTTGCTGTTATCACCAGGCAGGCCATCGACTGCTGAGCTAGAGAGAGGGGTTGGGCAGGAACAGATGGCCTGTGGCTACATCTCGCTGAGCAAGTTGCTGATCTTGCGGAGCTCGGTCAGAGCCGCAGTCGCCGTCACCTGTCCTTTGCCGCCCAGGAGGTTGTTCGAGAAGTTCTCCATCGGCCCGGGCTGGCTGCGATCTTGCTGAAACGCTGACTCGATCACCTATAATTACATTGCAACCATTGTTAGTGATGCATAGATAGGCATGATCCGTTGTTAGTGATGCATACATAGATAGGAATGATCCAAATTACACCATACATGCATGTTTGGCAAATAAAGATACAGAAGAATTGTGTTTTTTCAGGCAAGTATTTCTTTTGGCACACACTTCACTAATGACTTCAGAACGCAAGCCAAGCAATTCTACCAAGTGGTAAGACACAAACATTTGATGTAGAAAATTATGCAAATACTTTTATCAGGATAGAGACTACCAAAAAGTACCACACAAGGCAATAAATGATGTTGCATATGATATACCTGGATATTCTCGAGCATGCTTTGTCCAAGATTCTTAAATGTGCCCATCACCTTCTTATCACCAGCAGCCAACTTCACGTTACCACGCGGGTTATTCGAATTCCCTTCGGAGCAGGATGGGTCAACAGCATCTTTAGCATCTGATTTCTCACCGCTACCCTTCTCGATGTTGCCTTCACCTGAGGGTCTCCCTAGCTTCAACAGCCACTGAAATTTACTGATAAATGGCTTCCTTTCATTAGGAACCACAGTTTTTTCAGAGGATCCATCTGGATCTGCAGTTTTATTAGAAGTTTCTGCTTCTGAATCTTGAACACTACTGCCGTCATGATTACAGCTGGATGACTCATCTTGCAGTATTTCATCCCTGTCATTGTCACCACCATACGAAATTGAAATGACACTACTTCTCTCAGAATCGTTATCTTGAATGTTCTCATGCTCATTACCAGCAACGGCTGCATAGAACACTGGAGAGTTCTCACCGCTAGAAGAACAAGCTTCTGTTGCACATTGTGTCCTTTGTGTTGCGCTCTCATCAGCTGGCACAGCCAGCGGATTTTCTAGAGGGCTGAGTTTAGCCAGGCACGGTGGGCTTACAGTTACACTTTCAGCAGCTGCTCTTGGTTGCAAAGGCTCTGCGGGACTCACTGGAGGCTCCTTGTGAATTGAGACGATAGGGAATTCATCTTCTTGAATTTTCCCTGCAATTTCATGAGACCTCCCCGCACTATCTGATAAAATATCCAGAAGGCATCGCCTTGCTGAATTCTGAGCATCACTTTTCACACTGATTGCTTTCACTGGAGAAGGATCTGACTCTGTCCTACACAAACCAAGCTTCTGCCTTAAGGATTTCTTTATTTCTCTGCTGAAAGAATGACCCTTCTCAGTCTCCTTGGGAGATGTCCCATCATTGTGCAAATTTCTCCACTGCTTTTCCCAGTAACTCTCGGATAAAGGATGCAATGGAGTTCTCGGAGGAGTTGAAATAGAGATAATACTGTTAACTCTGTCATACTCGCCGATATCCCTATTTAATAGGACAGATGGGGATGAAGTGTTCGCATCAATGGCAGTAGACTGCAGGGACTGGGCCTTCTCAATTAGCTTCTGCACATCAACATTCGTCGGGTAATTCAATAATCTCTGGAGACAAGAGACATCAGTCTCGGTAGCCAACAGAGACGATCTAACATGAAGAAGCATAGAGACTGCCATAGCTGCAATGAATGCCCCTCTATCTGAACACAAGATCCGAAAGCTATATTCCTCATCACTATTTAGCAGCATACTATTGGAACAGGCGAAGACTTTGTCCCATACTACTAAGAGATCACTGAGGCCGAATTCTCGTCCAAACAAGACCCTCAGCCAACGAAGTGCAAACCACTGAGGTTCCACTTTCAGCTCAATGAAATGGTTATGAAGAGATGGCTCAACAATGGAAAGCAAATGATACAATGCTGAGGAGGCTTCAATAGCAGGCGGTAGACTTGAGCTAGATCCAACACTGGATGGAGAGTAAAATTCTGCCATGCGAACCACTCCACCGCCCCCATCCATCAAACCATCAAAAATGGCATAGGCATCATGCTCCATGAATCTTTCAGATAATACAATGCCTAGTTCACCTTCAGCTCCATATGCATCACTAAGTAAAATTATTTCTTTTGTATCTGAGTCAAGCTCATCAAGACTGTTAGCTCTGGAAGCACTTTCAGAATCATTTTCATTGTCAGTTCCTGAATGCCACTTTGGGTCCTTTCTAGGTTTATAACTAAAAACCATATCAGTATCTGGGAAAGGTACTCCAACAAAATCATCATTGAAGCAGTCTTCATGGAGTTTTCGTATTTGCGATAGCTTATCAATGTCGACCTGAAGAACATACACAAGTGGAGCCAATAGCTCATGCATTCCTGTGACAAGATGAGCCATATGTCAATGCATATTCAGCAATTAAACAAGAAGATATAAATGAAAAGATATACTGAAGTGGCCATGCTACTTAGTCAAATACTTGATGTAAGATACTCCCTCCGTCCGAAAATACTTGTCATCAAAATAAATAAAAGGGGACGTATCTAGATGTATTTTAGTTCTAGATACATCCCTTTTTGTACATTTTGATGACAAGTATTTCCGGACGGAGGGAGTACTTTGGTGCTACCCGGCATTGCTATTAAGAGATCTCAGAGCTAATTAATATGCTTTAACAATGCCATCTTAAGATATTTATACTCTTGTTTTATAAAATGGTAACTTTTACCGTGCAAAGATTAACAGCCCTAGATGATTTTAGACCCATGAACTAATTAATATGCTTTAACAATGCCATCTTAAGATATTTATACTCTTGTTTTATAAAATGGTAACTTTTACCATGCAAAGATTAACAGCCCTAGATGATTTTAGACCCATGAAGTTCTCAGTTGAAAGGAGAAAGCAAACCAGATTCCTTGCAATAACTTGAGAACTTTGTTTCTTCTACATGCGGAAGGAGTTTCTTACCTTGGCGGTAACCATACTCTGGATGCTGAAGACACCACATTAACAGTATCCTACGCAGCATGGCCTGGCAAGTAGGTGTTTGGAAGTAACTACCATCTTCGGGATACAAGCGAGACAAATCTTGGTCCACAGTCTTCTCCAACTCTGCCCCTCTGAAAAACCGACCCCAGCTACTCTCTGCAGAAAGAAGTTAAATAAAAATATCAAGATGGAAACTTGGAATCAGAGCTGTCGCACAAAGTGTCAAGCAACACCTGGAGGCTTTTGTTACATAACATCATAGAAAAAAGTATACATTTTTGTGTGAGCAAACTATTCACACTCTGAATAATAGGTTTCATCCCGCCTCTTAGGCACTAGCATAGCTAAAACACCAGTAATTATACCAGTAGAAAAGAGCCCTAATAAATAATTATGAACAATAATAAATTAATAAAAAGAGTACACATTTATATATCTTAATGTGTTAAATAACACTTGTCAAGCACCGCTCATCGTTTAATAAATGAAGTGCGTCACAACCCATGGAAATTCAGGAAAACACTTTGCAGTGCAAATCTGTGATGGTAAGTGATCACGCAAGTGTTTGCGGTAGATAACAAGTCATCCATGTTCAAAGATATCATCCTTGTAATTTGTTTACCATGTAATCATCACAATTCACAAGATAATGTTTAGGATCAAATACCTGGGTTCTGAGAGAGCGGGTTGTCCACGATGAGGTTAGGTGATCTAGCCTCCTCCTTTGGAAGATGAGGGTCTACCAGAACACGGCGCCTCAAACTAACATACCTACAACAAACATGAATCAAATTTAACATGTCATTCTTAGGTAGAAAGAAATAGCAAGGAGCAAAATTCATTTGCCCCAATCACTTATAGATCAGTAACAGCACCAATCTCTCTCGCCGAAATTTCATCTCATGAAACAAACATGGCATGTGGCCATGTGCACGATAACACCGACAGAACCAGAAATCTAGCAATCGACGAGCTATATTCATACGACCACAACCAAATCAGATGCATTAGCAGCCGGTGATTGCATTAATTTGCTAACAAACACAACCATCTGGACGAAATCAACGCCTGACCGCGCAAGAATCAAATGAAAGCATAACAAGAACGAGCCAGGTAAGCAGGAAAAACAGAGCAGAGCAGATTCCTGCCGCAAAAGGACAAAACACCAGCAAACACCCGGGAACAAGGATGGCGGGCTCACCTCCGCCGCGAATCGGCGGCAGCGCGGCGGAGCTCCTCGACGGAGGCCTCCGGCGACGCCGGCAGGATGCCGAGATCGACCCGCCACCGGACGCTGCGTAGACTCGAGAACCGCCGCCGCCTCTCCTCCTCCGCCATGGCCGGGCCCCTTCAGTCGCAGGCGAATTGGACTCCCTCGAATTAACAACAACCCACAACGGAAGCCAAGAAACGTGGCCAAAACGCTATATATGGCTTTGTTTATCTGTAGCAAAGTGGAAACCGAGAAAAGGAGGAT